TTTTTTTTTACACTTTGTGTTATCCTTGTTTTATTGAGTTTATTTCACTACTTTTCTGTTTAAAATTTAATTAGACAAATACATTTTAAAATAATACATTTTTTAAATGCTAATATTCAATAAAAGGTCACATTATGCCTTCAAAACTGGCCTCTTTAGCAGCTGTGATGATTAATATAACATACAACAACAGTCATTAAACACACAGCATCAGATAGCACACATTCATGAACTAAACACATCAGATAAAGCACTTCAATAACTGATTACAATAAACATGCGGGAAAATATTTTTATTCATCAAAAAAATTCTGAAAAAAAAAGAATATGTTTTCCACAAAAATATTGTGCAGCACAACTGTTTCTAACATTGATAATAATCAGAAATGTTTCTTGAGCAGCAAATCAGCATATTAGAATGATTTCTGAAGATCATGTGACACTGAAGACTGGAGTAATGATGCTGAAAATACAGCTGCGCATCACAGAAATACATTACAGTTTAACAGATATTCACACAGAACACAGCTGTTTTACATTGGAATAATATTTCACTGTTTTTACTGTATTTTTGATCAAATAAATGCAGTATATTATTATTATTATTTTCCTAATGAAGGTCTCTACCCGTGTTCTGTAGGGACAGAGCGCTGAATAGTGTCAGAGTGACTCCTGACCTTCATCAGTAGCCTCACCCAGCATCATCATCATCATCAGGACCAGCTCAGTCCAGACGACAAAACCGAAACGCGTTTCTGCTGGAGTGTGTCCCTGGCGGGCCGCCGTCGCGATGGGCGAGAGCATGTCGAAGCGGCTGAAGCTAGTCACCGGCTCCGAGGCAGAGATGGAGGATCGCAGCTTCATCAACCCGTTCCCGGACTGGGATCAGAGCCTGTCCGTGTCCTCAGACCCAGCAGAACACAGCGGAGGAAACGAGCCGCTTGACGCCGACGGAAAGGTTCGTGATCTCGCGTTATTTGAGCGTTTAACGCGTGTTTGTAGCATGCTAACGCTAGCTCCTTTGTTTACAAACACGCTGTTGTTCATCAGCAGATGCGCTGTTAGCAGATGTCTGATTCTCAGCATGTACAGTACAGTACTCGTATTTTTTGATAATTCAGGTCTGGCCATTCGAGCAGCAAAAACAGTCATTCTAACCCAGATAACGTTACAGGTGTCCGTTTAATTCTCACTTAATGAAATGATCCGAAAACACGCTTTCACAGACTCATTAGTTCATTTCATTTAATAAGACGTGCATCACAGGGAAATTTTGTTCTTTTTTCCCTCTGAAAGTCATAGCTTGGTCAGAGCAACATTGTAGCACTTTGCCCAAGACAAATTTCCTTTCAGAGACAAATAAAGTTTATCCTATCCTAGCACCCTAGCAACACCCTGACAACTCCCACAACACCCTAGCAACACCCTGACAACCACCCACAACACCCTAGCAACACCCTGACAACCACCCACAACACCCTAGCAACACCCTGACAACCACCCACAACACCCTGACAACCACCAACAACACCCTGACAACCACCCACAACACCCTAGCAACACCCTGACAACACCCTAGCATCACACTGGTGACGTTTGCACAGGCGAACATTTGCTTTTATGTTCGTTTATGATTCATGGAGGCTTTTTGCAGCCACCGAATAAAAAAAAAAAAGTAGGTAAATGTCACATTTTATCGCACAATTTTAACTATTGTTTCACACAATTCTCAGAATTGCAAGATATAAACTCAGAATTCAAAGAAAAACAACTCTGATTTGTGAGATGTAAACTCAGAATTGCAAGAAAAAAGTCAGAATTGCTAGATATAAACTCAAAATTGCAAGAAAAAAGTTACATTTCTGTTTAGTTCTTGCAGTTCTGAGGAAAAAAATCTGAATTGCAATATTCTATTCTATTCTATTCCATGGCAGAAACAGGCTTCCATAAAGATTTGACTCAAACGGCAATGTCTCAAAATGTGCAGCACAATTTTAATTTTTTTGTGCATGGTCTAATTTTGATCAAAAGCTGTGGTTGCTATGGTTATTTGGACATTCACAGTGAAAGTACCACACTATTCTTTGAACTGCACTGGAGAGCCGTAGTACATGAATATGGCGATCATTCAGCACATGCAGTGTATCAGGTTATCAGACTGATACACCTATCAGAGTATTTTTGTTAAGGTTATAGCTAATAATTTGTACTGTAGCAGTTGTAATTATTCTCTGAGGAGTCCTTTAGATATCAGACACCATCTCTATGTCGACCTCTCTGATTTCTGCGTGGTGGAGGAAAGATCGGGAGGTTTGTGCTGATTTTCTCTCTGTATTCCCAGCAGTGGTCTCTTGTTTCCGTCCCCTCAGCTGTCAGTCACTCCTGTGCTGTGGATCTCTGCAGAAATACACCTTCATTATTTGATTCGGTTCAGGCAGCAGCAGGGCTCTATGCTCAGCAAAGTCAACGCATCAGAATTTCTCCATTGCAGTACTCCTGATTATTTTCAAGAGTATTGATTATTTTTTGCTTTTCCCAGTTTTTGTTGTATTAGAGCCAGGACATCTTAACAGGTGCACTGCAACAAACTAGAAACCACACAGAACACTTTAGCAACCATAAAGCAACATCCTGACAACCACCCAGAACACCCGAGCATCATGCTGGCACCTTTTGCATCACATATTCTTAGGACAATTCTAGTATAAATTGTGAAAGTAACATAATTTGGACTTTTTTCCAATGTTTACCTATTTTGTTCAAAACAGGTCAGTATCACTGAAATACTGTAATATATATATATATATATATATATATATATATTATTTATTTTATTATTATTATTATATATATATTTTTTTTTTGT